TATAATTTTATAATATTTTATATTAAGCCATTTTGCACATTTTTACATTAAGTTTTTATTATATTACATTTTATTATGTAAGCTAAATTAAGTAAATGAACGTGTAATGACTGCTATGTCAAAGATGCTCGAGTAAATGAGCAAAAACCAAAAAATATCGCTGCTTTCCCTGCAGAAATTACCAAAAGAGTTGTTCCTTTGTGAACTGGGAAAATAGGAACAAAGGAGACAAACTGATCAAGAAATGGGGAATGAGTTAAAGCTAGAGAGAGAGAGAGCGAGAGTGTTTTGATGTGAGAGGAGCGGTGGAGACCCGTTTCTCAGCAGAGGGTCTCCAGACATTGAAACCAGATGCAGTTGTGCAGTCATGAGCCTGAACGTGTGTGCACTCAAAGGGGTTGCCCGAGATATATTTAGAAACTCCAAACGCCATCCATCAATCCGACAGCTTCAGATTAAGCACTTGATGTAACCTAACATTGGGGCCTGCTCCAACTTTCCCCTCTTTCTCTTCCTCTCTTTCTGTCTATCTCTGTCTGTTTCGTTCTCTGTACCACACGCAGTCACAGAGAGCTGAGAAAACTCCCCCTGTCTGGGACAGGCTCTAAACCGCACTGTCAGCACACTGTCTGCTTCAAATAGACTTTATGAGAAAAACAAACACCTGAAAGATCAGCTATGTCCAGCATACACTGTGTCCATGAGCAACATGATGTGATGAAACTAATATGCTGATTTGGTGCTCAAGAAACATTTCTTATTTCTAATTTCGCTGCTTCATATTTTTGTGGAAACTGTTTCTTTGATGAATAGAAAGTTCAAAAGAACAGCATTTATTTGAAATAGAATTTTTGGTAACATTGTAAAAGTCTTTACTGTCACGTTTGATCAGTTTGAATTAATGTAATGTATTTATTTATTTATTTAACTTTGATAGATATGCTGTCTGGAACAAGTCGTTTGTATTTTGGCACAGTTTACACACCAGGGGCATGTTGCATAGACTACTTTAGGATGGCTCATAACTTTTTTTTTAATGTCAACAAAATACAGGTTATACTGATTATCCCTTACTGGGAAAAAACAACAACATATTACTTTACTTATATACTGTATTTAACTGAAGTCACACGCATGTTTGTAACTGGTTGCCTGTAAACAAGGGTGGCTCATCTTATCCTGTGTTTCATTTTACCCTCCTTACAAAGCAACACAATATACAGTGTGTAGCATGCAGAAAAAAATGATGCAATCTTAAAGGGTTAGTTTACCCAAAAATGAAAATTAGACTGTGTTTTACTCACCCCCGAGGCATCCTAGGTGTATATGACTTTCTTCTTTCAGACGAATCCAGTCGGAGTTATATTAAAAATTGTCCTGGCTATTCCAAGCTCAATCATTGCAGTCAGCGGGTGTTGCAGTGCTTCAGTCCAAAAGAAGTGAAATAAAAAGCGCCCATCCATAATAAAAAGTGTCTCACACGGCTCCGGGGGGTGAACAAAGGCCTTCTGTAGCGAATCGATGCGTTTTTGTAAGAAAAATATCCATATTCAAAACGTAATAATCACTTTAATCTAGCTTGCGCCAACAGTCCTTCACGGAAGCAGCTCCTTGAGTAAAACACAGCCTAATTTCATTTTTGGGTGAACTAACCCTTTAATTATGCTTAATCAATTACAATCAACTATTATGATCAATTAAGCTGTCAAACATATAATTTATGACAAAAACAGTCACTTAAAAGAACATTTATGACCATTATAACTGATGCTGTTTGGGTGCAGTGCAATAGAATGGGAGCGTTGTTGCCTCACAGTGTTAGTATCAATGCCACAGAGTGTGTGTGTGTGTGTGTGTGTGTATGTATATGTGTGATAGAAATAGTCTTTTTCTTTGAGCGAGCAACCCTGGCCTCATTAAGACTTGTTTATGTAGGGAGCTATTCCAGAAAACTGAGGTTTATTTGTGTGTATGATTGACTGAAGGTGAAGCTCAGGTGAGCGTTTTTTCCTCTGAAAATGTAAACCAAACATGAAGTTTAGAAAGATGCATTGTATATGCACAAACTCTCTCACTCAAAAACCATTGAAACCCATGCACACACCTGGACTTGGACCGTCCTCTTCACAGCTGGTTTGGCAATGTGCATGTGTGTGAACGCATGAGGTTGTCAGGTTTCACTGCAGTATTATCAGTGCCAACAGGTGTGAAGACTGGAGAAGGATGTGTGTTATTGCTTAGTACAACGACACGTGCGTATGTGTGTGTGTATGCTCAGAAAGTCCCGTTCCACTTCCCAACGCACTCACGTCTAATACAGTAAACATTATTTTTTTTCTTTCCGACGCACACACACACTACACTTGGAGTGTCTGTCTGGTTTTGAGATGGAGGGAGGGAGTAAAACCACACAATGTCTGAAAGGGTCATCACTTAACTATTTACAAACACACCATTTCAGACAGGGAATATGAATCACTACAGTGAGTCAGTACAACGTTCGACAAATGCATGAGTTTGCGTGTGTGAAGGAAGTGGGAGAGAGAGTGAGAGATCCTTCTCATACAGTGGACTCTTTGTATATTGGAGTGAATGAAGATCCTCTGTGCAAACACACAGTATATAGTGCATAAAACAGTCCACACCATCTGTATCTTTCATAATTCACAGTTAAATAGTTATAATAATATTCATATCTTATTATAATATCCTTTTTTGATAAAATAATATAAGGAAAAACATATTTATGGATCCAAGCATCAAAGGTTTATTCATATTTATGATGGTGATTCTTCGTCCTTAAATTTGTCTGGACATCATAAACAGTAAAGTGCCTAGATATCAGATTTGTTATAATGATCTCAAGACACTATAATAAGCAAACTCACATTTTCACAAATGTATTGGTCATGTTATTTTTTTTTTTCTGTCTTAAATTTTCCACCGTTTTGATTATTCGAAAAAACATCCTTTTCAGTAGTCCTAGACAATTATGTTTGTATAATGTAGACTCCCTTCTGAGGAAAAACTTTTTCAAAGAAGTTTGATTCATAAAGCTGTTCATCATGAAAGTCTTCATGAATGTTTTTGACATTTTGAAGACACACACAAAACTTTAAGTTAACTTAAGAATGTTGAAATTCACCAGTATTTTGTGTCATATTTGAAAATTGAGGTCAATTGAGGTCTCTTTCCAATGTGCTTGGGCCCTGATAATTGCCGTTTCCGGCTACATTTGAAATTCACATTTCTACATGCAGGTGTGTGTGTGAATGACAGAAAGAGTTCTGGGTTTCTGGGAAGTGCACTCTAACACTTATGTGCCATGAAGGCACCTTTGTTTGGCAAAATCCCATTCAAACAATAAATGCTTTGCTGTGATTCCTGGCAATTTGCCGAGGTAAAGCCAGAAAACTGCTGAACCATCAAAGCCTCAATCAGTTCTCTGGACGTGTTTCATGATTGTGTGCGTGTACGCACGTGTTTCTGTGTTTGAACCAGTCATCTATCTTTCCTCGGAATCACTGAATAACTCTTCTTCAGGTTCAAACAAACAGCACGTCTGTAAACGACTGCCAGATTCTCCCCTTGCTTTTATCTGGTTTTACTGCCAGCACTGTTATGTTCTTTCTTTGTTTTTCTGTCAGACTGTCATATATGTGTGTGTAAGTGTTTTTGGAAGTTTGGTAGTGATGCCTTGAAGAGTGGAAGTGCCCACCCTTACTCCACCCAGGCTTGAAATACAACTACACACCAGCCAGAGCTTTGAGACATGCTCCTTCACACTCACACAGCTTGGCTTAGACTAGGCTTCTGCATAGTTTCTGACTAGGTAAATGCCGAGACATTAGAGTTGCCAACGGTCCCACAAAATACAGGATCAGAAACACAGATATCTTTTACATTAGCTGTGTGACAGCCCCATTAACTGCTGCTATGTTACAGTGATGCTATGCACAAGGATCAAGGAAGACCAAGGGAAAACCGCTAACTTTAATCTGCTGACTTTTGGATGAACTGTTTTTGATTAGCAAAATTGTGCAAGACAAAGACAATCCATGCATATTCAGTCATGTATTTCATTGTTGCACATTTTTCACTGGATTTACTGCTGTTTATAAAAATACAAAGTACTTAGAAATCCAATGAAATGCATTAAATTCAAAACATTTAAAAGTTGAACTGAATGTTAATTTTAAAATGTTTATGAACACACTTCTCTAGTGTATGCAAATGAACAATCATGTGAACAATCAAAGTGCATCTCAAAAGCATTTTGGCAATTAATTCTGTTGAGTAGCCTAGTGAATGTTTTTATACACAAACAGTAGTCTGCATAGCAATCATGCACTGTGTCGCAGCATTTCATTTTTTATTTCCATTATGGTCAGTTATCACTAATTATCAAATATCAAATGGCATATGTGGTATAAAGAAACGGCAGGTGTCCTCTGCTGAAGTGGCGGTTTATTCGGGACACTCCCTGTTTCATGAGGTGTGTCCCTGTTAGGCTGACTGACTTAAAATGAAGTGTCCTCAATGTCTTTCTTAGCAGCTCATGGTTCTCAACAGAGTTGCATTACATTACAGAGAATGAAAGCTGTATCTCTGCCAAAAACCTGGTCACCCTAATTTTCAAAAGTGTGACACTAATCCCACAGTAACCCAATACACTTTCTCAAGAGCTGAGGCCAATTAAGCCCACGAGTTCTTCAGAAATCACTGAGGTTCATTCCACTCTTTATTTCAGAAACAGAAATCGATACTAAATAATTTTGAAATGTGTAAATTGATTTACACAAATGTTTTATACAAAAGCTCGCGGTTTGCTCTACACCCCTTTTTTTGGGGGCTAAACACTAAACGTTTTGCTCAAATGTAGGTCAGAACTGTCAAATGCAGTGCTCCCCCTGCTGGCCGGCGCTGGTAACACAGCATCGCCTCGGCGGCTCTGGATTGGCTCCAGGCGCTTAAAGACTGGAGGTCAGTGTGCGCGAGGCTGCTGCCAGAGACACTTCTGCGCTTCCAGAAGGGCAAGAGACGCACAGAAGACACCGGCGCTAATGAGCTGGGGACTATTGTGAGACTTTGCATGTTTTTGGTATCCTTCTCGCACTTTTAAACTGTTTGCGAGGAAGCCATCGCGTCTGTTGTGGATTTAACTTTTTTTCTGAGATCATGAACTAAAGTGTTATGCGCTGAACTCTTCATTCACGGAGTTTTAACCGGCGGGATTTCTACATTTAAAGGTAACAAAAAAACTCTTTAAGGCATATTTTCCTCCTTCATATAGTCTGAATGTATAATAGAGTGCATTAAGTGTGATTTTTGTTTGTCTTTTAATTAAATAAGTCCAACTCGTGTATGTATTATCCGGTAACGCGCACGTTTGGGAACATATTCGGCGGTTTCGAAACCTAATGAGCTGCCTGCCTAGGCGGTATTTTGGCATCATGTGCGCGTTTGAACGTTCTAGCTGAGATTACTGTTTGAACGCGCGTATGATGCCTAAACTGCTGTCTAGATAGGCAGCACACTAGGTTTTAAGACAGCCATTATTTATTGCAAATATTTTAGTAATTATAATTAATTACAGCATTTTTTGTAAAATAGGTAGACCAGGTCTAGTTGTCACAGTAGTCTCAGTAAACATAAGGTTTTGTGTGTTTCTCATATAAATGTAAGCTCGGGGCAAGTTGTCACATTATATTGGTATATACAAATATTATTTATATAATAATAGTATTTTGGTGGCAAAAACAATAGTTTGAAAGACTGTTTTACTTTACTTCTTAGTTTCATTACGGTTTTAATTTAGCTAAAAACCTATAATAGACTGTTTAATCACAGAATCTGCTGTGACAACTTACCCCATAGAGTGTGACAGTGTGTCTTGCATTATATAGACAAGACCTAAATGTTTGTGTCTATATAGAAATTGACTCCTACCATAAGACATATAAGTGGAATCAGAACTGATAGTGAATTGATAGTGAACTTGAGTGACAACAAGCCCCATTCTCCCATATAACATGTATTGTAATTTTACATTTTAGGCATCTATTGGGACACCAGGACTCCATCTGCGTCTCTGATATGGGACTTTAGGTTTATATCTCTCATATCATCTTTCCTGGAGTGAATTCGGCTGGTTCAAAACATTTACGCTCT